GGGGGGCTCTTTTGCAGTGACGTCACGCACGGATGTAGCACTGTGCTGTTTAGATTTTTTTTTTACCGTCACTTTCTGTAAAGAAACGTCATATTTGAAGCGACATTGCATAATAAAGTATTCAATTCAGCTCGACCTTCCTCTGTGTTAGTGTAAAAATCCACCCACTCATGAATATTAATGAAGGGGGTGGGCCTCATGTAGTGTGACGCAATTTTTTCACCTGATGACGATTGCTTGTGTTGCGATCGAAACGTCGTGATATATTTTTATTATTTTTTCTATCTACGTGGCTTTACCGAAAGACCCAAAGAATGTAGCAGTAATTGTTTAACGTCACAAGGTCCACCCCATAATTGTTTACTTCTCTAAAGGCAAATACTACTAATGGCATTTCACATAGCTAAATTGTGAATATTAAGCATCCACTGATGGATGAAGGCCTTCCCACACCATGTTGACCATGGCATTTAGTTGACTGTACTTAACACATTCCTGCGGAGGGAGCTGGTAGGAACGTTGGGTTGCTCGGTCAATGGCCAGGGTCAACGGCGGCGTGGTGTATTCTGCAAATATGGCCAACTGTGAGGGCGGGCACAAGCCGGCGTGAGTAGGTTAAACGTTGAGTTTTATAAGGGCACCACGGGGTGACCAGCCCCTCCCCACCCTCCCCACCCAGCCCCACCCCTCCCACCCCCCACCCAGCCCCACCCTCCCCACCCAGCCTCTCCCGACCCAGCCCCTCCCCACCCAGCCCCTCCCCACCCAGCCCCCCCCACCCTCCCCTCTCCATCCAGCCCCACCCCTCCCATTTTTGGATGCACGACGGACGGACGGACACAATAATCCCCTGTGGGCTGGTGGAACCAGGTGGTTCCTATCAGTGCCACGCTAATCATTGCGGGTTGATAATGGGGAGACGGGGGGTGGGGAGCTGACCGGTTAAGATCAAATTCGCCACTGTTAGCCCTGGCTGGGAATCGAATTGAGGTCGCCGGGTTAAGGGTGCAATGTCCGAACTACTGCACTGCCATCGTGTAGTGAGCTAAACACTGCGCCACCGTTCTAACCCGACCTCGCTGATTAGGGGGCATTTACATGGGATTAATCGGTATCAATAAATATGTCCGCGTATACGTGCATGATGTATGTGTGTATGGTCACTAACAGCACTTGCCCCAACAGTCTGTTAAGGCTATACGGGGGATATTTGTATTTGTATGGTCAACTCCGCCTCAAATGGTGTGGCGTTTAAACATCGCGACTAAGGAGACAAAGGAGGCCGAGCGTGGTGCTGGCCACCCATCCCCTCGTGTGCGGTGCTGGCCATCATAGGTGCTTGCTAACAACACTTGCCCTAACAGTCTGTTAAAGGCTATACGGGGCATCTTTGTGTGTACCAAATGCTGTGCGGATGCTATCTCGCCTGTCTAATCATACAAAGCTCCATGTCTTCTCGGTCTCTCTATGCTTGCAAAACCAGAACACCCCTGAATGAATATCTGCACCGGTTTAAACAATCAGGCTGGCCTACCTATGATCCATCCTGGGTTTAACCAGGCTGGATTGTGTGAGGAGCTCGCAGATCCTTGAAAGATCTGGACACAGTCCCATCAGTGAGCTCCTCCGGCAGGCGAGGCTGCGTTGGCAGGGTCATGTATCCCACATTTCCAAGCAGCTTCTGTTTGGCCGGATAGTGTAGGTCCGGGCTACCGTAGAGATGTGCTGATGTGGTACAGGAGGATATGGAGCTGAGTGGACTTGCCAATGACCGGTACCAGCGGTGTCAGGATTTGCCTCTGTGGACGGGGCATTTGGAGGCAGTCGCCCTCCAACAACGGTGGAGGGTAGAGGAGCTACGCTCACAACAGTGTGCGGAGCGCTGGACGGATAAAGCGCAGCAGGTTGGCGCCGTAGGGAGGCACAGGTGGTGCATCGGCAAGTCATCTCGGTCAACCCATGGCACCTGGGGTCTAGCCCCGTGGCCTCCTGCCGCGGCGAGTCGGCGACACTCCACTTGGCTTCAAAGTGCACCTCGCCTGGCTGCGGCTGTTGATGTCCGTGTGCCCGTGGAGGGGTCGCGGAGCGGCAAGTGCGCTCCGCTGCGGCAACACAGCAGTGACGAATGTTTGAAACGGTCCCGGGTCTCCCCTAGGTCGACTCAGTCTCGGACGAATGCCTGTCGCGACAAGTAAATAGCAACACTGGGGAGACAAAGGCGGCCGGGTGTGGTTACTGGCCACCCACCCCCCATCGTGTGCCGTGCCGGCCGTCAAAGGGGCTCGCTAACAACGCTCGCCCCAATAGTCTTGTCAAGGCTGCACGGGGGATCTTTGTCCTTGTAAGTGTGCGTGTCCCTGTGTGCGTGTGTGTATGTCCCTGTGTGTGTGTTCGTGTGCGTGTGTTCGTGTGTGTGCACCCCATGCACGAATGTGCGTGTGTGTCCCTGTGTGCGTGTGTGTATGTCCCTGTGTGTGTGTTCGTGTGCGTGTGTTCGTGTGTGTGCACCCCATGCGCGAATGTGCGTTGCGGGTAACCCAATGCAGGCTTCATGCTGCCGAATCCACTCCGGGTGGTCCAGAGCAGCCACGCAGATCTTTCGGGAAGCACGGAGTATCGCTGCGGCATATTTAATTACGACGCATTGTTCAATTTTAGAAGCGCGCTCGCTGGTGATGGCAAATTAAGATTGAGGGTTCCTTACTCGAGAGCGTGAACTTTAGCAACGCAGCTTTGTGTTTTTTGCGCCTTTGCATATCAGCGTTTGTGGATATTGTCCAGCAGTGCTGTTTTTGTGAGCACCCCTCTGAAATGCATCAGCCATTGATATACTGTATGTGCACTGTAATTTAATAGAAGGGCCAAAGTGCAGAGAATTTTACCTCGGGGTCAACGCTGATTCCGAGGAGGATCTTCAGAGGTGGTGGCGACTTGGGGAGACCTTCATCCAGCGGTGGATTCTTCTTCTATCGTACGGCTGATGTAGACGCAGAGCAACCGCGTCAGCAGTGACCGGGTGTATCGCTGTGATGTCTCAGTCGTATTTGTGGATCGGGCATTGCATCGTTTCTATGTTGTGTGGTATGTCCTGGATGACCACAGTCGCACACTGGAGAGTTGAAAAAAAAAATTCCATTTGTGCATCAGGTATCCGCATCTGCCATGGTTTGTGTGAATGCGGTTTAGGGTCGACCATGGGCTTCGTGGAAGGTCAAACCCAGGGATCTTCTGCATTGGGTCTTTCACAAGGTGTTTGTGAGTTCTTTTGAACTCCATTCCAGCAGTGGATTGACCACGGTTGACGATTATGCAAATCTAACTCAATTATATATGGTGTCAGGTTTACAGCCATGAGTTATGTATTGTCGTAGCTTGTATTTTATGTAACTTGACATTACAATGTGACTCACTGAATTCTTTGTTATTAACTGTTCTTTAAGATAAAGGTAGCTCACTTGGTATGCACATTGGGTATCGGCTGGAATTATATAGGTCATTACTCATTTTGTAATTGTGGATGCTCTTTTCGCATCACACTGTTTCTAATTTAATAAAAGCATGCTCTAATGCTACAAATTAAATGCAATTCTGAGCTCCCCCTGCATGCTGGAGGTATTCATGAAACATCGAGGATGTGTGAACTTGTTCTTTATGGCTAACATATTTCAAAGGGAAGTGTCGTTCTGTATCTGATCTAACGATTTTCAAAACCCCCTTCTTCCAGAAATAACTGTATGCTGTACTTCTCTAAACAAACCAAAACCTTTAACTGGAAATTCGTTGACGTTGCTGTCAATTCATGCCCAGTGTCAGCGCAGGCGTGGTGGGTTTACGGGACAACTTTAACACATTCGATTAGATATATGATTCCTATGATGTCCCATCCCCAATTCCAGGGATTGATGTGCAGCGGCCGCCTTCTAACCTTGTCTTTCCACAGATCGATGCCGCCGCACGCACACGCTCATGCCACATTCAACCTGCTGTGTTTACCGTATTAGTCACTTTGTAACCCGATGCCGTAATGTACTTGTGCGCGGCCCACAGGAAGTACGAGTCTTTGTTAAATGACGAGCGGGCGATCTGTTTTGTCCTGAGCTCCGGGACTTGGCGTAGTCTCACCCCCACGATTTGTATTCTAAAGTCGGGCACACTCTCTGTTTTTGCTCCGCAGCCCCTGTTGGAAGATGAGGAGGAAGAGGAGGAGGAGAATGAGGGTGGGAGGCAAGCCCTGGCGCGTCTTAACTCCACATCGGCTACAATCCCCCCTCCCTCTCCCACACTGCTCCACGAGGCGGAAAGAAAAGGGAATAAAGTCTAATTAAAATTTACAGCTTGTGCTACCTACACACTCGACCACGGAATCCTCATTAGAAGCGAGGCACGTACCCGGCAGAATTGAATGCGGCCCGAAACAATTGCAGATGGCACGGGGAACATTTGTTGGAGAGGCCCTGGAGAAAAAAGGGACGCGAAAATTGTAATTGTGCACGTCACTTGCCCGCGCATTGCTCAATAATTCGGGAAATTAAAGCAGCCATAGGAATGGAGCCCTCGTGAAATCGAGTGGGATTCGTCTGGTCTGATGTAGTTGGCAAGAGGGTATTCAGGAATGAATAATTAGGGCTGACAGCTTTTAGCGCTTGCCGTTTCTCTAACTCATTTTGGCGAATGTTTAGTTACGGATTTTTTGTGTGTGTGGAAACTGAAATCATAAGAAAAAAAAGGCCGTCTGGGGGAATTGGGAAATCGTGACTAAATGTAGTCTGCGTGCAACGACGATGATGCACTTCAAGATTTTTAAAATTAGGTTGTTATGTCCCTGCGTGAAACGCGGGACGTGTGGTACGCGTGCGAGGCATTTCCAAGTTATGCATTTTGTGTACAACACGCATTGTGACCTGTAATGTTTTATCTGCTGTGACATTCTCGTGCACACACACACATACCAGAGAGGGGGGGGGGGGCACTCACAAAACGTTCCTTTTTTAAATGAAGTTATTTATTGAGTACGAATTGCCCCATACATTTGCCGACAAAACACAGCTCTATCCATTACATAGAAAGTGTTTAAAATGAAAGAAACTAAAGCAAAATAGCAAGACAAATGCCTCAAATATTGCAATAATTTAGAAACATGAACAATAACCATACGATTTTGTACAAATCAAAAAACATTTAGGACTCATTTAACTAAAGAATTTTTTTACAAACATATTCTGCTTGAATATGGAGAAAGGAAATACTTCATGGAACATTTAGGTGACAATTGTCAAGGTTGATAAAATGGTCCCATTAAAAAAAACACACAAACGCCCGACACCAAATCTAAGACTATGAAATATGTAGGCACATATTGGCTCTAACTATTCTGTACAAAATATGATACACTGTAGAAAAATTCTATAGCTGTTAGTACTGGAAAAGGATTCTAAATTATTGCTAAGTCAATAGCAAATATCACACAAAACGATCCTAGGCATTATTAAATATATATGATCCATACTTGCAGATTGCTTCTTTAGAAAGTTCGCACTTGTATGGCAACTAAATTTACGTAATTTTATTACACAAAGGGTTTTAAAACGTTGGCATCATTTTAGTAATTAGCTCCTCGCCCTCATACACATGCATTGCATCTGTAGAACACGCAAAGGAGTTGAGATTTAGGAGGGAAAAATAGGTTGATGAGTTCCTTTGTAAGAAAAAAGAAAATGCACTAAAAGGCACATCTATTGTTGGCTTCTTAGAGAGTCTGTACAATAAACACATCTTTATTTACTCAACATTGCGTAAGGAAGACATGTCTCCTCACAGAGGACTTCTTCAGGTATAAGTCATTGGATGTCAATCAAATTCGTGTCTTTTGTTTTTGCTAAATAATAACAGTAAAGGCTTCGCCAAATAAAATATGCATGAACAGTTCGCAAAACTCATTCCGCACTCTAATAAGGCATCGGCTAAAGCTTAATAGATACCGTAAAAGTGAATCTGCGAATGGGTTTTATGTCACTCTTAGTTTTACCGTAAACGCCATTTTTCATAATTCTGCACGCGTCCACGTTCACCTTGCATGTCCGCAAGGTAGGCTAACGTTAGTTAATTACAAAAATATGTCTTTGTTGACGCCTCGGATTTCTTCCTGACGACTAAGGTGAACAAACAAGCATCGCATTGCGAATGTAGACCTGCAGTGCATTTACTCAACGGTGCAAGTGAAGCGGACTATGTATTCGGCGTGTTCTGAAACGGCAAAAAACATGTATTCTGTACTTTATGCATAATTATTGTTGTTATTTTGATAAAAGCGTACACTACGATGTGGACGTCACCAATGTGTCTACGAAAGCGCGTAACGGTCTTCATTAAAATATACTCTATGTTTGGAAGGAAGCGCACGTTTTTCTCCCGTAAGCTTTGCCTTCGGCGTAAATGCCCAATGCAGGTGGACCCGCGCACCTGCAAGCAAACGACTCTATCCACACTTAAAAAAATTCACGCTTATCCGCAACCTAGCCCCCACCCCCTCCCCCATAACTTTGCTTGGGTTTCTATATTTAAAAAAAAAGTGACCGGGTGGTGGAGGACAAAGCCTACGGGAGGCTTCAGGTCACTAATTTCAATAGAGTTTTTTTTTCATTATTAAGGATTGTAGTTTAGAACCATAATAAAACACACAATCACCCCGCCACTTGGACGAGCTGGCACAGACTTGCATTAATATGGCATCATCATTATTATTATTATTCATGGCCTCGTGAGCTGGGTGTACACGGGCTGCTCCCAGGACGGGGGGCTGTGCGGCTGGGGGATGGAGGGCACCCCCGTGGCGTCCGCGATGGGAGTGTAAGACGGCCGCTGCGAGGGCCCCATGTAGGAGAAGCCGGAGTACAGGCCGGCTGCCTGCCCCGCAGAATGCCCGCTGTAGTAAGCCGCGGCCGCCGCAGAGCTCTGATGGTGGTGGTGGTGATGGTGGTCCGCGTAGCTGTACTGGGACCTGCTTATAGCCGGCACTACAGCTGCCCCGTAGTGCTGGATGCTAAAGGGGCTGTAGCCTCCCAGCTGCTGCTGCTGTTGCACTTGCTGCTGTGCCTGCTGTGCCTGCTGAGGCTGCTGCTGCTGCTGTTGTTGTTGAGGCGAATGCTGCTGCTGCTGCGGCTGCTGTTGTTGCTGCTGTTGGTCGCTGTAGTGGCTGGGACTCAGCTGCTCAGTCTTGACATGCGCTCTCTGCTCGGGACTGCTAATGGCAGGTGGTGGTGGTGGTGATGACAACGTGTGCTGCTGTTGCTGCTGCTGCTGTTGCTGCTGCTGCTGCTTGGACAGCCAGGCGTGTCCATTGATGCTGTAGCCTGTGCCTCCGTAAGAGGCCGCCACGCTCTGGCCGTGACCGGGGTGACCGTTGGGTGGCAGGTACTGGTCGAATTCGTTGACGTCGAACGATTCCATGTTGGAGATGACCTCCCGACTGAGCTCCCGTATGTCCACGTTGCTGAAGTCGATTTGCTGGCGGCCGCCTTCCTGCAGAGGGCGCCCCTCGCGCTTTATATCCAGCTTGTTGGACTGCGCGTCCGTCTTCGGGGTCGTGGGAGGCGTGGGTGGGCCCTGGGACTGCCCTGTGAAGGGCACCGCCACCCAACCCGGGGAGAGGCACAATTACATTCGATGCCATTTTTGTGGTTCAAACACACACGCGCACGCAAAGGATCCCCCGGTATAGCGTGTAAAAGACTGGGGGGGGGGGCAACACCACGCCCGGCCGCCTTTGTCTCCCGAGCGGTGATGTTTTACACACCGCACCAGGTATTCATTTGAGGCTGAGTCGACCTCGGGGAGGCCCTAGGTGACCGGTTCAGGTAATCGTCACTGGTGTTGGCCGTGAGCGGGAATAGAACTCGGGTCACCGGTTTCGCAGCGCGCTCACCACTACACTATCACTCCCCACAAATACACACACACGCGTACGTACAAAAACAAAGATCCCCCGTATCGCCTTAACAGACTGTTGGGGCAAGTGCTATTATCGAGCACCAATTAAGACCGGGAATGTGCAGAAGAGTGGGACAGTGGGAGGGGGGTGGGGGGTGCAAAACCACCCACGCACGGCCGCCTTTGTCACCCACAAATGTTCACCACATCGCAGCGTGTGCCGCTTATCGAAGACTGCGTCGACAGGCGAGAGCGCCCCAACACGTGCGCCGATGTGACCACCTCCGCGCGTGCAATTCATTCAATCGAGCAACTCGGGGGGTTCGCAAAAGCGCACGAGCCCATTGCTGCAATTAAATCGACTCGTTAACGGTGTGCAGCGGGGTGGGTGGGTGGGGGGTCACTCGCTCGCTCGTACCAGAGTGCTCGCCGGGAGAGTGCACGTCCCCGCTGGGCGAGTCCGCTTGGAGCGCCTTGTAAATGGCGTTGGTGGTGATGTGCGTCTGCTCGCCCGACGAGTCGGACTCGCTCTGGCCGTTCTTGCCCGACTTTCTCCGCCTCGGCTGGTACTTGTAGTCGGGGTGGTCCTTCTTGTGCTGAACCCGCAGGCGCTCCGCCTCCTCCACGAACGGACGCTTCTCGTTCTCGCTCAGCAAGCTGCGGTGGGACACGACGGGGAGTGGGGTTTGTGCGCGACACAGGGAGAGCGGTCAACTCGGTGCTTGCACACTCTTTTGGGCAGTGGCGCGCTGTGAGCCGTCGCAGGTAAAAAGCCGAACACCGCGGCACAGTTGCGAAGCGTCCGGCAAGGTGCGCAAAGAAGGTACAACTGGATTTTGGCACTCGGGAAAAAAAGATATTTATCAAGATCATAATAGTAATAATAGGCTGCAAATTGTGAATATAGACGGTTGCAATTGCTGTGGAGATATTTGGACTAAGAAGACAATTGCTTCGAGGTGATGAAGCCTTCATTGAGGTTTGTTTAAATCCATTCGTGCGGTTTTGCGTGGGTGGTAAACATCTGTATATGTGGTGGGCTTTCTCTGGGTACTCCCGATTCCACCATCGACCCCCCACAAATACACACGAAGCCAAACGATTATTTATGAAATTCTCCAAATATCCAGATGCTGGACTCTCATGGGACTGAATATTCTTAAGACTCGACAAAGCTCTCCTGGATAAACACGTTGCATTGTTATTATTATTACAACGATTATCATCGGTTCAACGGGAGACAAAAGATAGCTGGATATTTGCTGACACTTGTTTCTGACAAGATCTGATCACAACCATCGAGCAAGTAGAGACAGGGCCCCCCTCGTCCCCCTCCCCTCCCCACACACACGCAAAGTGCAGCCCTGCATCGGAGTTCTCGGTGCCAGGTAGGACTTGCCCCGAGGCTGGAGGCAGACGCACATGATGGTATCTCAAGCATCTGTGGCGCTCGCCAAGTGATGATTTACAAGATGTCGTGTGCTCAAAGTGAAAGCCAAAACAAAACAACCCTCTTGTCGGAGTATCCCCGTTGAGCATATAGTCGGTGTGGTGTATCCGCAGTAAGAAAGTTGACCCGTTGTTTATTAAGATAATTTTCGTGAAATACGAGCGGCGTAACGATTGAAAAAAAAGACGGTGGCTGTTAATGTCTAGCTGGCGTGCAAGTTGAATTTACAACTTCTTTACTGTTCGAACACGCACGCATGCATGCATGTCATATCCCATCGACCACTAATCAACACAAATAATTGTTGTACGCCGGCACAACAGCAATTAACAACAAAAAAGCTGCACATTGTATGCGTAAGAAGACCCCAAACGTCCATGCAACGGTGTCGCGCAATAAATAATAAACGTAAAAACATATCGCAGGTACACTCAAGAAACGGAACACAAATCTAGGCACACACACACACACGCGCAAGAGCGCCACCAAACAATACGCATCAACTGACACCCAAGAGCACTGGAGGCGAACTGATCTCTCACACTCACCGCCACAGTTTGCCCAGCGTCTTGCTCAGCTCGGCGTTGTGCAGGTGCGGGTACTGGTCGGCGAGCTTGCGGCGCGCCGCCTGCGCCCACACCATGAACGCGTTCATGGGCCTCTTCACGTGCGGCTTCGACTTGGAGGAGCCGTTCACCCTCACGGGCATGGGCACGAGGGTCCAGTCGTAGCCCTTGAGCACCTGGCTCACGGCCTCGCGGATGCAGGCGGGGAACTTGTCGTCCTCGTCCATCTTCTTGCCGGAGCCCGCGTCTCTGCCGAGGCCGAATACCACCCCGCCGTCCAGCACCCCTCCCGGGCCGCCGGCGAGCAGGAGACCGCTCGCGCCGGCGCCGTCCTCGCGGTCCGAACAGCGCTTGGAGCCGCAGCTCTGGCTGTCGCTGTCGGAGCCCGCCAGCGAGTCGGCGGGCGAGCCCACGGAGCAGGTCTCCGACATGTCTGGGCTGGGCACGTCCGACATGTGCTTGTCGTGCTCGTCTGACATCATTCTTTCGGCGTGCGCGGGCGCGCGCGCTATCGAGAGGAGAGCAGAGCCGCAGCGAGCTCGGCGTTCGAAGTCGTCGCTGAGATCTTGCAAACGAAACAAAATCACCAAATTGAACGGGGGGGGGGGGGGGGGATATTCAACGCTTTTGGTTTGTCAGTCGGAGCGCCCGCCGACGGCAGCGCTGCGTCTGCTCGTATCTCAAGAGTTCTTCTGTCTGTATCGGGGTCGCGATGCACCAGATGAGAGAGGATCCGACTTACTAATAAAATGGGAATGGTGCGAGCCGCTTGATTGGTCACCGCAGCTCCCTGCGCTGTGTGCGTGCGTGTTGTGCGCACGGGAGAGAGAAGCGATTTGAAGGCTCGCTGGGGGAAACGTGGGTATAGGTTCGGCCTCCGCTGGGCGCATTCCAACAATCGTGCGCCAAATTCCTGCGCTCGCCTCCAATTGGTCCGAAGTTACGGGGCGGTGCCAAGAGCAGTAATAAATATCTCAAGTCGAGATGTAAGCCTCCTCCTCTCCCCCCCCCCCCGCCTCTTACTCCCTCGCCCACCCCTCCCCTTGCCACACTGGCTAAATGATTTTAAAATTGAACTCCACGTGTAAGCTTAGACAGAAAGCGACTTTGTCTCTTTTAAAAGTCAATTGACAGCTACTGTGAATTGGAATGCACAGCCAGTGTGAGGGAGAGAGAGAAAATATAAAACGCGCACGAATAATCGCGCTCGCACCACAGCTTTGTGTTGCGTTGCGCCCTCTCTCAAGATAAGCCCTGCGCGCGTCTGATCAGCACAGCGCAACGATGGACGTGCGGCATTGCAGCCACACGATGGACGCTCCTCCACAACATCAATAAGCACGCACCTTCCCCGTTGCTTTGAACACTGCGTTGCACTATTTTCACGACTCGTCGTGAGGCTAGACACTTCGGGGTGCATTATCCGCGATAATAATAATAATACGCGCCCCGTACGTAATGCCGCACCTTCTTATTTCCCGTGTGCCATGGCTTAAGAGGCTGCGCGCGATTGCTTGTTTTGATGACGACCGTCAGTCTCAGTGAGTCCCGTTGACCATCAAATGCCGCGCGTAACGAATGCAGCCGTCGGAAGAAGTAATCGCCTCTTGAAGTGTAGCGGCATTTCCAAACGCAGAACAAGTCGCGACGGTGACTTCTTTTTATTTTTATTTCGCGTCGCAGTGGCGGCGTTCCTCTACTCCTACAGCTGGCGCGTCCCTAAACGTACACTCAAATTAACGAGACACAATATTGCCGTCATATAGATATCTGTCCTTTCACGTAACAAATATCAGCATGTATTACACTTCTCGTCAAGCAGAATAGCTTCGGGGAGTGCATCATTTCAGCAGCATTGATTCAATATACCGTAAGCTAATTCTGAACCGGTTTCGACACACAGTCTCTCATCAGCAGCCAGCCTTCCTTGAAATGATACATTCGATTGTGGTTGACGGGAAATGTAAAATAAATACCTTAAATTCTTTTATGTGGAGGGACAGATATATAAAGATTATCTGCGTATTTGTTGTTCCTTACATTCACCACAACGGCGCTGATGGCTATTTTGTGTTACTCTCTGCAAGCTCACGTTTTGCGTGACTGAGAAATATTCAAGTTGGATACCCTGCACTCACTCTCAAACTATTGCGAGTGTACTCGCGATACAGCCGAAGTTGGGGTGTGAGGACACCTGTTATAGGCACACGACACTACTGGTGGTCGGAAGACAAAGGACAACTTCTGATAAAAGCACACTTTGGAAATAAGTGTCACCTTACATTAGTGCGATGAAAAACGCCAATTTCCCGACACATTGACTATTATATTGGTACTGCATATTCCCTTTCAGGGCAATATCACTGCGGAATGCTTTGCATGTCTTTACATGTGCTTATGCGACATTGCCAACCTATCGATGGCGTCTCTTGTTTTGATTCCGAATGGCTGTACTTATTTCCATATCCTACGGACACACTCAGCGCTCACCATCGCAGCCGAGCGCATACTGTGCAATATGTGTGTGAACTGTGCAATGCGCAGAGAAGAACGCAGCCCGAGCGAAGCCGGCTTACTCCAGCAAGACACGCCCCGACGCGCGGAGCTGGCTCACGGGGAATGCTTCGCTGTGTGAGCTGGGGCTGAGCGTCGCTGCAAGGTGAATGCGCGCAGGTGACGGCACCTGCGATCAAAGTGGCCACCGATAGCGCCGCGCTCCCCCTCTCTCGAATGCGCCTGCTGATGGCATCGCACCGTGACGGTCACGCCTTGCGCTTTTGATGACCACCAGTGCCCGCGTCTGTCGCTCGTTCTCGATCGCTTAGGAAGCACAAACATCATCATCAGCAGCGAGCGCCTCGCTTGAAGGTTGGCCTTCTTTTGTTGAGACTGCACGGTTCTAATTACAGACGTGGCTGTGGGTGTTATTTGGAGAGCGGTGGCGTGCTGGTTAGCGCACTGTCGCTGCCCGACACACAAGGCTACCTGGGTACGATTTGCGGCCACGGCGAGTGTTATGCCACCTCTCATCTAAGTCGAGGCAGCTTTAAACGAGTACCTGGTTCTAGGTGCTAACAGCGGCATTGGCGAAACGGAGGCGGTCGGACGTGGTGCTGTTCACCATACCAGCACCAGTCTTCAGAGGTGCTCCTTTACATGACTTTCCCCTACAGTCTACGTGAGCTATACAGGGCCTCTTTATATGTTTAAGTCGCCTCTTGGGGGTTGGGGATGCTTTGGCAATTGACAACGATTTACCTCCGTGATGCCTCTGTTGTATGCTTATATATACACGAGTCGGCTCAGCAAGTACACGAGGCTTGCACCGTTCATTGTGCGGGCGATGTGCACAGTGCATTTGCCGGGTAATAACTGTGTGGGAGTCGTCCTTTGCACGTTCGTAATTCCGCGTCGCAGACACACTGCGGGTTGTGGTCACCTCGCAGCGCCTCGCTCGCTCGCTCGCTGCGCCTCGCCGGGTCGGATTTGACGACGGCGTAGGACGCGTGTCGCGGGGGGGGGGGGGGTTGTGGTGGTTGTGGTGGTGGTTGTGGTACCCTCGCTATACTTCACGCTCCAGGAGTTACGAATCGAGTGCGTATTTGGTTTTTTGTTTGTTGTGTTTTTTTTTACACCGCGCGGAAACGTTAAACTTAACAACAACAATAAACCAACCCCCATCACCGCAGAGGCCTTGATATGTGTGTAATGGGATTTTAATCATACTCGAAGTGACTTTCGCATTCGTTGCTCGGGAGGCAAAGGGAATGAAACGTTGGAGCGTCGATATGAGTCCCGTGAATGTTAACACCTGCCCCCTACCCCCCCCCCCCCCACGGGAATTGTAAACCGCTCGCGATGTCAACGCAGGGAATCTGAAATGTCGGGACGTGCAGGTGTAGGGCCTTTCGGTGGCCGTGGAGTGGCGGCGCGGATTCGCGTGCGCTCAAAGCGGCGTGCAATGGCCGTGAGTGAGAGAAATACGCAACGCGCAAAATCCGCATAAAGCATTAGCTTCCACTTTACCACAGTAAGTACGCATGTATGTTGAACATCTTTCGCACCGTACGTAGCCAACCGTGCGAAGCGGATGTGCGTGGGAAAGACAACACACTAAGTGTCAGAACCGCAAGACAAATACCAGAGTTCCTACACTAGAACGCTTGCCGTATGATTTCATTCTTTCCAGCCATTTTTCAAGTCACGACTGGATGAACGGCTACGCGCCTCGTGTCGGTCACGAGGGGTTGTTGCGCCATATTTCACCACGTTGGTTGGTGCGGATGGGTGAAGGCGGGGAGGGTGGGGGGAACATCAGCTAGCTCAGATACATAACTTGTCGCTGATTTTAGCTATGTTCGGGAATCGAACTCGGGTCATCCCTCGGCGTAGTATATATATTATTTTTCTTTAATACATCGTGTTCGAGGACATTTCTCCTTTCAGCAACGAAAATAAACTCGAAGAAGTGTCCAAGAAAAAGCGTGATAGTGTGCGTGTGTGGGCAGCTCGTCTGGGGTGTGTCTAATTGATTGAGAGCGGCGTCTAATGCAGATCCAAGTATCTATGGAATTCTGCCGCTGCATTAGCGTGGCGAAATAGGCGAGGCTTGGGTAGGCAGAAAAAATAGCGTTTTTTTATTGTAAAGCTGTCCAAGGCACCGTTGTGCTTCGAAATGGAATTCGTTACGAATAGCAGCGTCTTGTGATGTATCTGAGCTGGCTCCTCGTATCAACGACACAGCAACTGAACGCGCGGCCCTCGTCCGAGACTCATTTCGAGTGTGATGTGTGACACTCGGATTGCGACGCGTCCACTGGCTGAATAAATACATTACATTACAGCAACATTGTTGATAAGTGCGTGCAGTTAAGACTCATTCTTTACTTGGTGTCTGCGACTAACATATAAAAAAGTAGGCTGATGATGTGGTTTGTTCTTGCAAAGTTAATGAAAATTTTAAACTTGTAATGTTTATCGACGAATATTGCCTTATCGGTGAAGCGTGTGCTGAAGAGTTGCACGTTTTATAATGTCTATTCGCGTTGACAGCTCAATGATTTGCTATTTTGTTAGTTTATTAGTCACTAAAAGTGGTTTGCCGATGTGTCTATATTTTACACTGTGTAGTATATCTGTTATTAAATGCGTGTGCTTATGGTATATCAAAAATGGCCAACACTCTAATATGACTAAATACACATTGTGGTAAGTATACCTATGTGATCCATGTTTATTATTGCATCGATGAGAGAAACATGCAATACAATGAGTCATACTTATCATTCTTGGTTAGATAAAACTCTTACACATCTTCATCTCTGTGCGATTTATTTAAAACACAAACCACTCGCAGAGGAGTAATTCTACTAAGAAGGACACGATGTGAATGAATAGAGTTCTGGATCCAGTCAAACCTTTCCTGGCCGAATGATTGAATTCTCGAATTCCTACTTGTGCCTGTATCATTACATATTATAACACTTTCAAAATCTCGTATACACATGTGAGTAGCATCGTTCTGACCTACATATATGTTATCACATACCCAGGGGAAAATAAAATAACTTACCCCCCCTATTGAGGGTCAATTTATGGGTGAGGTGGATGGGAGTGCTCAAGATCAATTTGGATTTCATATGCATATCGGCAACCCGCGCTTACCAGCGTGCTGAAGTTATGGTCGGTCAAACAACGCCCATGATCGACATGGCGTGGAAAGATGCCCATCGTTCAGCAATGGATTCACAAAGGAAGGGCTGCAGGTGATAAATAGTGTTACGTAGCATTGAACTCGTGGTAAAACGGGCATTAAAAAACCCCACGTGAGAAGAAGACGCTCAACCCAACATTGTACCGAGCTCACGTCGTTCTCATCCGGGAACCCGCACCTCTCTGCACCG